TAAACCCGGCACCAAGATATGCCATCAGATGTTCATTACTCTTGCTAAGCACCGCAGGCAGAGAAATGGCGACGGAGTTGTTCACCTGAGCCTGCAGAAAATTCTACTAGTCAAAATAAATGGGCTAAGAGAAAGGTATGCTTATTTGTTCACGAACTCATATAAGTTCTTTTAAAAATTCAGGATTTCCCTCAAAATCACCGGATCTCACCTTAACCAATTGTCCCGGCTGATTTGAAAGCTTTTTGAACCTTCTGGGAGTTTAAGTTCACCTCAACTCATCATGATCTCGCAGAATAATCCCCTCTTAAAAGGCTAAAACTTGGTCCAATATTTGACACCTCGTACTCACTATCACTGAGGTTTATTGACACTTCGCTGGGCAAACACAATGGAAACGATCCAGGGGAACCCATGGAAACTCAATGGGCTTTTTCTATCAGTACCTTCATATTCTGTGAAACTGGCCGTGCTGCCAAAGCCAACGTCCTGAAACGGTTGCACTGGCTGGATCTGGAAAACAAAACCGTGACTAGTAGTGAAGGTAGGTCTACTAAATGGAAACGTACCTGTCTAATGAAGTTTTGCTGAGTCTGTTGAGCGTTGTCGAGGTATTGAGCATTATTGGGCCATACAATGACTAGCAGCAGTAGTAAGCTGCTGCCGAACATGGCGAAAAGCTGACTGACTCAGGCAGAGGCCGCCAACGGGGACGTCTCTCCGTGTGTGCTGGCGGAGGTGAGTCATGCCCTGTGATACGACAGTCTCCAGCCCTTTCCCCATTATTGTTCCTGAATATTATAATTACAAGGAGAATCTGCGTTCAAATCGAGCTGTGTGCCAGAAAACGCGTTACTGTTTATTCAATGCTACAACTCACCCCAAGCAAGAGGAAATTTCAGAATTCAGTGACATTTTCGAGGACTTAAAAAATGACAATTCTCCAAAGTCCTATTTCCACCTCTTTTGGCAGTCGTCTGTAACGCTGGGAAAATTTGCCTGAAGCTCAAAATTCACACCGGATTTCCGCTGCTCCCGCTATGGGCCGTTCTCCAACGGTTGATGGAGTCCATATTACCGTTGGACTTGATTCCTCTTGGCACACTTCAAAACTCCACCCCGCCAAACTCCGAAACTGCATCGAAAAAGAGGGTCATGAACAATGTTGAAACAGCAGAATTCCAAAACTTTTTCCTGAATTCGTACACAAAATTCAACTTTCCAGGATTTTTTCGTCCCATGTTTCCAAAAATACGACCCTTCTTTGGTCGCAATGGCCCTTCCTTTCCCGTTGGGGGACTCTGTGTTGAACTTGCCTTTTGCTCAGAGCACTACTAACCTCACACCATACGTCGCGCGCTGAGAAAACTGAGTTAAAACCGAGTGAACTATCAACAAGACCCTCTTTCTCAAGAAGGATTTCTCAAACCATGGCGTACTTTGCATACTCCAGCGACAAGCAGCTGTGCTTGAGAGCAAGAATCGGGATCACATTATGGGTTGATTCCACTCAAATGTGAAAGTAGGGGGATGGGAGTGGACCGCCAGTGAAGAAAAAAGGAAAGAAAATCCTGAAATATGCACAGGAAATACGAGCATTTTGCTCAATGCTGTGGAGAAGTTCAAAAGACAGGCAGGGAGATGAGAGATAATGTGAGCGCGGAGGGTGGTAGAGAATTCCGAGAAGAGAGAGCATAGCAGATCAACGCAGCGACGCAGACAAGACATCGATCGGTGGGCGGACCATGTTATGTTTGGTGGAGTCTGTTAGAAGTTCATGGCGCCTAGGGTCCTGGTGACGGGTTTCGATGTAGAAAGGGGCGCTAACTTTGCACTTGGGTGCCCAGCACTTCTAGCCATGGTAAGGGCTTCTTAGGTGGGTCTGAGCCCGAACTTTGCCTTTAAGTCGCTATGGATTCTGTGATGTGGGATATCGGTTCTTCAATCAATTTGAAATGGGAAAATGAACAAGCGTCACACGGGTCGAGGGGGGCGAAAGAACGAATGTGAACCTACATGTGCTGCCGCGACTTTTTGACTCTGAACTCCCGGTTATAGGGTTGCCTAAAATCGTTCACGTTTCATGGGTGCTAGCTCTCCGATCACGAACGCCTGACGATGTTGAACCCACCCCATCTACATATCACCATTTAGTCGGAAACTGCCAACCCTGTCAATTCGTGCACCGATTCAGTGTTTCCGACGAGATTTCCGCTCTGATCTAATAGCGTCGTCAATTTGGATCACTTCCAAGCACCGCTAGCGTCTGCCGTCTATTCCAACCGATGAACCGCTGTCAAACCTCGTACAACTTTGTTATCTTCCAAGCTAACTTGGAACCGAACTACAAGCGCGACTTGGGCCCATCTTGCGTCACGTCCCGCTCTTCGTAAGCATTCACGACTTTCCCGAAATCCGTGCTGTCCATATTTCCTCATTCACTCTAGGTTTCTTTTCATCCTCAGCCAAACTTCCAAGTTGGGAATTGAACTTCGGCACGCTAGCGGACCTACTGAGTTGGTAACCGGAATTCTACGTTTTCGCTTCCGAATGAGCTTACAGTGTTGGCGTCCACTGCCCTTCCGCGCCCACTTTGCGCTCCCAGCCAGCTTCAACCCTTTACCCCATCAGTTTCGAATTTCCTACTATTTGTGGCTTGTTTCTGTTCCAATCTCATAAGCTTCTTAGCCTTAGGGTATAGCTAAAACGGGGTGGGCACGTTGCAGGCCGCTCCCCTCAAAAATGACTCTGCAACAATGTGGCATCCTTGGTGAAACTATTACCCTAAAATCCCATAGATAAGAGCGGTCCATAGATATTTTTTCAAAAATAAAATAAAAATAAAAATATTTTTTCAAAATCATTTTTTACCGGTAAATTAAACCGCTCTTATCTATGGAATTTTACTGATCGAATGGGCTCTTCAAGTTCTATCCAGAGATCAAATTCCGGCATTTCTAGAGAGATTCCGGCAGAAATTTCCGTTAAAATCGCTATTTTTCTATATGAATTGTTTATTAAGTGGGCGGGGTTTAGAGTTGAGGGACGGAGCTTCTTCTAAACTTCTTCTCCGATTTTTATTTATCCATCCATCAAGTTAGAGGGGTGACTGCATTCAATTTCAATTTCATTCCAATTCATTTTTCACCGGTAAATTAAACCGCTCTTATCTATGGGATTTTAGGGTACTTTGAAAATGCTTCCCCATAGCGGTCTGCAAACTTCGTGGCAAGGGCTTCGACCAAATGCCGGCACACGCCGCCGCCAATTATGACGCGTTAAGAGCCAGTTTTCACTTGAAGCTCAAGCGGGGCGAGAAAAGCTGATATTAAGGCCACTAGGCTAAATCTAGCAAGAATGTGAGCTGTGATGGAAATTAAGCCCTAAGGACAAAACCAAAATCGAGCTCCAAGAAAATCCCAACTTGGAAACTTTTTTTGCGAAAAAAATTTCGTCGTGAACATGTACCCTCCCCTTCAAAAAGCGAGAAAGTGTCGGGTGCAGACCATGCACCACAAGTGACGACGGCCTTCACAAAATGTTAATGTTTTCTGCCAATGAAATGATTAGCCTGTTGCAGTTGTATTCTATCGATTGTCACTAATTACAACTATCATTTAGAAATCAGCTATTTTTATTTATCATTTTTCTTTTTTTTTCTTTCTTTTTTTTCCTCCTATGAACACTTCTAACACGATTTACGTGGAGGGGCGGTCGTTCATGTAATGGTTTTGGTGTCCACCGACACTTTCTCGCTTTTTGAAGGGGAGGCTAAGACTTGAAACCATCCACATGTTTCGGACGATAAAGCCCTTAGACAACCCTGGCTCGCAGAACCTTTTCTACGATGCATACCATAAGAAATTCCTGCTCGCAATTCCTGTTTCCCCTTACAATCATGGACTCGAAAAAATACATCAACCTTAAATATTCTTATAAATCTCACTCGAATAAAACAACAGCGATATATACAATATAACGAAGTCGGAAAGTCAAGCACTACGCATAGCACGCTCAGCACACAGTTTAGGAGAATGAAGTAGAGAACCATCAACGAGACAATAATGGCGACATTTACACATCATTTCGCAACTTTCAACAAAATTTAGGAAGCATCTTCCAGTAAGAAATCAAAAACAACAAAACTGAAAAAGGCGGTGTCGATCACAACACTTACAAATAAAAATTGTAGCCAGTATCATACAAATAAAAAATCGCAGCCAGTAACAGAAAAAAAGGAGAACCAAAGTTGAATCGTGGTGAGTTCAGGCGAAAAATGCAGGTTAGCGAAGGTAAGTCTTTCGAATAAACTTTCAAAAAATTGAAACCGCTTTACAAATGACCAACTAGATCACTGAGCAAATATTATTATAGAAGTCGATGATCTTACTCTTAAGAAAGGTTCGTAATCACGGCCGCTACACACGTCTATAAAAAACCTGTCGAAAAAATACCAAACAAGGCGCTACGGTGAAACTAAGAGCACTATTATACGAATCGAGGAGCTGAATTAGCAAAAAGGCCAAAGTAATAAAAGCTGGATGACTTTAGTTATCCGGCGTCTCACCGAACAATTCCCATAAGTCTTTTGGAGGCCTTAGAAAAACAGCAACACATGTTATGTTGTCAATACTGCCACCAGCAATTGCAGCGCGGCAGAGATGGTCCGATAAGTTGTAAAACTCTGTAATTAGTCTCATATGGGCAAAAAATGATACAATGAAAATTGTTGAAAACACACAACTAAGGCAAGTTTAAGACTTTGCGACCATCGCGCGATTCGCATTCGAGGACGATCGATTCTTAGTGCGTAACGTTCCAAGAACTCGGTAAGTGCCCCAAACAGCCAATAGTGCTCGATGAGGAGGAGCCCTTGAGTGGTACATGTCTCATAGCAACATCCCACAGATTAAATTTTTGGGGTCACAGCGGTTGATAATGGAGTTGTTGATACCCAGTTGACTAAAAAAGAAAAAAAGAAGCAAAAAAGCGTCATTGAGGCCTTAGAGAAGAATTCTCTTTCTTCCCCCTTACAAATATGGAGGGGCGGTGCGGACGAGTTGTACGAACTTGCTCCATAACTCTACAAACTAGTGCGAATTTCAAATAAGGCGGTACGTCGTAATCTACGCTGCGATCATGGGGTGTGCGCGAGGTCTCTCGTCCATACGTCGAGAACAGTCGCCATAAATTCACTTTGTAAACCCAGCTTTGTCGCGCACTTTCGAGCCGCAACAACGGCACATCTGTGATACTCGTGGGCTACTCTATCCCATCCACAGAATAGATTCTTTGACACTACCCCGTAGGGAGTATTGCTTTACATCACGGATGCTAAAAAACCGCTCAAATCGCGCGATTCCCGCGACGATCGCAAAGTCTCACATCTGCGCTATCAGCAGTTAAAAATGCTCCAGAATGGAGAGTAGGGAACAGAATACAGAAGGGAGTGAAAATATCAATAGCAGTCACGAAGTTTGAACAATCATCGAGAAACCAGGTAGTAGCCTAACTTACGTTTGGAGCTATGCTTAGCCACGAATGACTTGATCATGTCTAGCACTTCAGAGTCATTGAATAGCTCTGAAATCCCATCGCAAGTAAGAAGTAGAAGGTACTGTGAAACATCCCTTTCCACGACAATAGTATCGGCTTTCGGACTGATCATTGGTCGTCCACCAATATCTCCTGAATTTCCAGAATGCATCTAAACAAATCATCAAACTTAACCGGAACTTACCTAAAGCTCTTGTCAAGTTCAAAACGCCGTTGACCCTCAGCTCCCCTTGAATATACAGCAGTTGACCTCCGTCCTGCTCTACCCGTCGCGCTTCTTCCTAAACGAAACTATGCAACGTAAAGCACTCGAGGACAAGTTCGCTTCGATGTACGCTATCGCACATTGTAGATATGATGACAAAAGTAATCTTTGAAGAAAAATGTGAAAGCAAACTCACCTCGTTTGTTGGAACATGCGCATTGGTGACTTTTCGTAGATCACTGGCTGATGAAAGCACGTATGCAGCTGAATCTCCTACCCATGCAATGACCATACTCTTCGCATCTAACGCTGCCGCAACCGCAGTCGTACCGCTTCGCCATCGTTCATGCTCACATCGAGCAGATAAACGAGTATCTGGAGATGAAAATATTCTATCTATCTATTAATCCATTGATGCACGGTACTTCACTATGGGTGCTACACCACAAAAGAGAACATGGTGTCAATGGACTTTCCACCGGGGGTTACTTTGCCCTATCATATGGGGAATTGGTTGACACGTGTATGTGAACCCAGAAAAAGGTAACTGTCAATAATGAAAATATTTCTGGAATTGTCTTGAATATTGGAAAAGAAAGCTTATTACGGTGACGCAAACGACCGAGTAGAAAGAACAAATGAATGTTCGTTTAACACCTTGACGACGTTGTGGCACCTATGTATGCCGCCACTTTTGCACCTCATCGGACATTGTGGCAACTATGTATGCCACACCCACTCTATAGGTCGTACATTAACCCTTTGACGACCGTGATGCCGCCGGTGTGCCACACTTTCGCTCGTGACACGTTTTTAGGAGTTTATTTTGGCATTTTTCACGTTTTCAAAACTACACAAATACATTATCGAATTCGCGGAATAATGCGCTAATTACTAATAGTGAAATTGTTGGAGAGTTAATGATTATTGATGAAAAAATTTAGAAAGAAGTGAAGTGACGCATTCATAACGGCGGTCGTCAAAGGGTTAAATCTAAACAAAACACGGTGGCTAAAAGAATGGACAAATATTTTTTGTCTAGCGAAGGTTATCCAGATCTTAAGAAAATTTCTGTTCACTAAATTTTCTTTTCATTGATGTGAACACGTAGATGAAAAAAGAGTGATAAGGGTGAACACAAATAGTCGCGTAACAAGATGTATGTCTTTATAGATAAAACCACGTTCAAAACAATTCTGGAACCACTTAAGCGAAAGTAGGTGAAAATTTGCCTTCTTATAGAAATTACTCGTCATTTTGCAGTCAAAATTCCATAATTTAACTCCCGATAAATTTAAAACATTAACAGAATGAAAAATTCCTCCTACATTTTCGTGCTCTACAAATCCAACTGGTTGAGTTGAGCAGGGCTCTGCGCAAAACCGCGCAAAAAACGCTGCGTAATGTCGTCAACGTGTTAAAGGGCCAATAACTGAGGAAACATACCGAGCCGTTCAAATGCTTGCTTTAACGAATCTTGCAGTGAACTCGGGTTTGCGTTCAGTGCTCGCACAAACTCTGCAGGTAGGTGGGCACAGCAGTAGGCAGAACATTCAGCACCTCCATGTCCATCAAACACGCCCATCAATGCAACATCGGACTGCAAATTATTTCAAATCACATAGAGTTCAACAAAATTATCCAATGAAGGATGATTCTATCTATTCAAAGATTCTAAAGATGAGCCCTTTCTCAATTTTGTGTGAACAAGCGAGCTTTTTTGTTCGTTTCGCTTACCTTTTCTGCTCAGTAAAGGTTCTTAACCAGCTTTTATTCTAGAAAACTTAAACTAATTGCAAAACCCACGGGTCAAAAACAAAAATAACAAGTTATTCAACGAATACGCATATTAATAGTGCTCACTTTGCCATACCTTCGGGCGAACTAATGCGAGTTCAGGGTACACATGTGATAATAGCAGAAACGATAGCGAAAATTTACCACTTACCCTCACCACTTCCGGGAAGACGAGGCTAAGAGTTGGCATAGCAAGCATTCGATCTTCCTGCTTCGGACGACGACCTTTTTCCGATTCGCAGGAAATTGGTAAGTGATGCCAAGCCTCCGGAAGAACTAGGCAAAATTATGTGAGCAATGAAAGGCGGGAGAGTAGGGTAAAAACTGGTACCTCGAAGTTTCCTTTCACCACTCATGATCTTTTTCGCAAACGCTTGCATGCTCGTGATGATCTGACGGCACCATGTACCACCGTCCGATTGGTGGTATTCACCTAGGAAAGACAAAATAAGATACTCGCGATCAAGGACAAGCACAGAAATAAAGAGAAATTGGAATTGCAAAGGCGAAAATCGAGCATCGAAGATAGAATATGCCTTAGTTTGACTGAGAACTGGATGGTGCTAACTGTTGAGTACCCTTACCTCGAAGCTTCAAAGTGTATCCTTAAGCCTTAATAGTTTCCTATTGTAAACCAACAGGTCTTTTGCTCTATTGTATTATTAACCGCAGTTTTTCGCCACCGTTCGCGACGCGAACGAATAGATAGCATTTTTCCAACGTCTTTTTGAGCGATTCGGGGCAGTCTTGCTAAGATGCCGAACCGGTTCGGACAAGCTCTTGCTTTCCTACGAAGCTCGCTCTCACCATTTTTCACTGCATATTTAATTAAAAAATATTACTAACAAATACTGCTTAAATCTGACAAAATTAGTTAACAACAATTTTCAAATATGGCATTTCGCAAGACAAAATTTTTATAATTTGCGTGCGGGTGTTCAGGGAAGAGAAGGGAAATTACCAGGCTGCAAGGGGATCTGAATTCCCATGGATTGGAGTGAGGAATCAGCCTCTCACTGACCTTCGGAAACCAGTGAAAAAAAAAACACCCCGACCACACCAAAAAATTAAATTCAGGTGAGCATAATTAAAAATTTTTTGCATTTCATTCAGAAGTCGAGTAAGTGTGGCGTTATATCTCATCTGCAAAATTACCCTTCAACGTAATCTTGCCTATATGCGTCTAACTGCTCCGCATGATCCGCTACAAATGCATCAGCAAACGTATACGCTAACCACATTGGAGCAAGTCTGAACACAAAAGTAAAATCTTCCGTGTGAAATACTGCACCGTACAACAAAGTACTTCAAAAAAGGTTAAAGGGAAAAACATCAAACAGTCCTCAACGGGAAATATCTAAAAACCGATTACCTGTTCAGCATACTTTCAACCACAAGGTTGAAGGCATCAAAGTAAGCATCGTGCTTAATGACTCGGAGAAATGGTGCACGATATCTCAAAACGGCTCCGTCCGCAACTGAAAGTAATTGTAAGAGAGAAAATAAAAGAATTGCTAATAATATGATATAGCACGGCGCATGTGTTTTGCCTTTACACTCCACGTGCCAAGTTAGTGCGCATTTAGTAGGCTCTATCTCTGGACATTCAAGTTTGTCTATTACTAATGCAAACACAGCACATCGAAAGCGTCCTGCTCCGCTGATCAAACAGCAGCTGTTTTTCAACTAATTAACCATGACATCATAAACTAGTCTAGTCATAGTTCTTCTGTTTACCTATTATGCACTAGCGCTAAAACATTTAACACTCCTACCACACTAAAGCAACAGTCCCAGCAGGGTTTTTACCTTCGACACTAATGGTGTGGAACGATGCGCTAGCCCTAGTCAAGAACATAAGAAGTGTGACTGAACAAAAAACTCACCTTGGAAAGCCGCTAGAAAGGGAGCTGAACGGCTTCGAAGTGGGCGTGGTTGGAATCGGCCGAGGGATTGCAGCCGACTGAGCAACCACGCCCACTTCGAAGCCGTTCAGCTCCCTTTCTAGCGGCTTTCCAAGGTGAGTTTTTTGTTCAGTCACACTTCTTATGTTCTTGACTAGGGCTAGCGCATCGTTCCACACCATTAGTGTCGAAGGTAAAAACCCTGCTGGGACTGTTGCTTCAAAGTACTATCTATCTGCTTGCTAGACTGTCGTTTGTCACAAAATCTGGCATCTTAATTAAGAATAACCTGGGATGGATTCAGGTTTATGGAATGAGTGAGGCATGGGTCAAGATGTACAGAGTGGGCATCAACCAAGCAGAGCTCCGTCAGAGGTGAGCAGGACTTCCGTTAATTGATGTGCGTCATAGCGCGCACCAACATAAGCCCTGACTAAAAGGTCCAGACGAAAATTCATAACTCCAGTTCTGGCATAGTCTAGAAGCAAGAAAAAAGACAAAAAGCAAAGAAAAAATTTAGATTGGGCAATGCTTGAATTAGACTCAAACCCTGCCCACAGTTGGTGAATCCTGAACTTCAATATCACCATCTACTTTAGTCGGTCCATTTCTTTGATAAGTAAGTGGAACGCAATCTTATGAAAGCTAGAAATCGCGAAAGCGCTGGGTTTACACAGGACTACTCTCACCGATTGATTCATATTAGGACGCTACATCTTCAGGATTTGAAAAGCCATGGCTTCTCCGACCACTTCAAGGATCTCTATGAGAGTGATGGACGAGTACAAACGGAAGAAACTGGAGGAGAAGAACGCGGCTGTGGAATCAAAAATAAACCGTTCTTATGAAGGCACTCTAATAACGGCACTGAAGACAAGTTGATCCTAGGGCTACAAAATACGTCTAAATACTTCTCCCCATGTATCCTACCAATGTGAACTGGAGATCAAAGAATTCAAAGATAATTTGTAGGGTGATCCCATCAGCGCAACTGCCCAACGGGAGTTACCCATGATTAGTGGAGCTTTTTAGACGGCTAGGAGTAAGACTGCGAAAGGGACGACCAACTGCTAGAATTACACTGGATTTGGGACAGTCAATTAAAAACGATAGTGGTATGTGAAAACGTGGAAACCGGCAAGGGAATACAGAGGTGATTTGCAATTGAGAGATGCGCTAAGCAATTGAATCGTAGCAAGACTGCAATAATCTAAAAAGCGTCGTATCGATTAGCAACATCACAGTTTTTTTAGAAACAAAAGAAAAAAATTGGCCTAATGCTGGGAAATAGCGATAGACCTCCTCAAACTGTTTTTTGCGATGATCACTGAGGTTCTTCACTGAGTATATACTGCTTCATACAATCAAGCGCAGGTGATTAGGACCGACATTTACTAAACTAGCAAACCATAAATTGTGCAGACGCACCTGCTTCATCGTCTCCTGCAAAACCTTCGCTCAAATGTTGATATACCGTCTTCCCTGTCTCGTCTTGCCATTGTTTCACGTCAATAAATGCTTCGCCTCCTCCTACTCCATTAATAACATCTCCGGTAGACATAACTGCAACATTATACACGATCATTCCAAGTGAAAACTAAACTCATCTAGCCATAGAACATCGAACAGCAGGATTGCATCGGAGAAAGAAAACTTAGAAAAAGCAGCAAGGGCAGGTTTCCATAGAAATGAAACTTATGACTCGACGCAGGCGGATAAAAAAACGGACGACTGTCCAAATGACAACGTTCCAGCTCGCTTTCAAGCGTAGTGTATTGCAGTGTAAAACGATTCTCACTTTCGTGAGTTTTGTAAAACAGGTCGCCATACATGTTCTTTTCTTTCTTTTGGTTTAGAGCTTTTCATTTTCATACGAATTCGCTTCGGAGCTTTCCGCTATTCAGTTGGTACTGATAGAGAGAGGCTATGAAGTGCTTTTTCAGTGGGTTCCCTGTATGACGCATGCCCAGGAAGTGTTTCAAACAGTTTCACACCGACCAATATGTTTTTGGACGGCTTCTGATGTCGACGATTGGCTACGAAGGCGAAGACCAAAACTAGCACTCAAGTATTCGCTGTATTTCCTGAGGCACAACGTCACAGGTGGGTGCTCTAGCGCATGGTTGACAACGTGCGTTATCGCTCTTTTTTTCGCCTCTAAATTGTGAAGGAGTTAGGCGTATGGTTTGAGGGTTTGAAAATTCGGGTCTATTCCAGTTAGGGGGGCATCATGGTGCAGACTCCCAAAAAGCTACGGTAACTCTGAGCCAGGGGGAGTGTAGCCAGCCTAGGGGGGGGGGTGAGGGCAGTCACTTGACATGCGTGAAAAGCTGGAATGTTCGAGTTTACATTAGCTCGCCGAGAAACTGCATCATGATGCCCCCCTAACTGGAATAGACCCGAAAATTCCTCACAGCTTCAGAGGGAAGAGTTATTTGTTAAGATGGTTAGGTTGATCGAAG